CGTATATAGGGAGGTACCGTTATATCGGAGCTGTGCGAAGACCAATTTTTTGTCACAGGCTTTAGCATCCATTACGAACGTCAAATACGACATCTCAAAAAATTTCGGTGGGTATTGTACCTACAGAATATAGGGAGGTACTGATATATGGGGCCTATACGAAGACCTGTAGTTCCCATTACGAACGTTAGATAGGTAATTTGAAACAATTCCGTTAAATAATGACGCTAAAATCATCAAAATACCGAATATCGGGAGGTACTTATATATGAGGGCTATATGAAAACGTGGACCTACATGGCCCATTTACGAACTTAACCTGCCTACTAGAAAAATATACACGTGTGCAAAATATTAGCCTTCTATCTCAATTCGTTCGAAAGATAGCGTGATTACAACACACAGACAGACAGACAGACAGACAGACAGACAGACAGATAGACGGGCAGACGGGCAGACGGACTGACGGACATGGCTAAATCGACTTAGAATTTTACGCTGATCAAGAATATATATACTTTGTTGGGTCTAACATGAGCATTTCGAGGAGTTACAAACGGAATGACAAAGTTAATATACCCTCCATAGTATGGTGGAGGGTATAATAAAATGTAAGGTAAAATGATATGCACCGTTTTTAAGGTTTAGATATTGTTATTAATGACATGCAAAATAGTTTTGAATATTCTAAATTTCATATTTGAGTTCTTGAACTTTTGGATGAAAGAATAGTATATTTCCAATTATAAAAACTCCTGAGCTTTATCCGTATAGCCTCCATATAACTGTACCTTTCGGTATTTTAAAATTTTAGCATCAATTTCAAAGAGAATCAGCTGAAGTTTGGCAATCCTGGTTTCTATTGGTCTCACTTTTTTTTTTGCAAAATATCTATAGTATTTTCTCTAGACTAAATGTTGGGTATTTTTAAGGTTTATGGCCTTGTTTTTAAGCAAATGACACAAATATTCGACACAGATGTCGTAAATTTACGCAATTGAGAAAGCATTTTATACAATTGACTTACTGAGACGCATGACACCCCGTCCATATTTAAGATATATTGGTAATTGAAAATCTGAAAAACATACAAATTTGGACCACATTTGTATTCTGCTGTTGAATAAAGTGGCACTACTTTATGCATTTTCATTTCGAGTACCGTAAATCGCAAATAACACAATACTAATGTTCATGGCTTTAATCTTACTTGACCTTATTTCGGATCTGATCTTTATTTGATTCATAAACATTAATATGCTCTTTGCATAAAATATATAATTCTCCAAACCTAATTCTGCCAAACATCGAATGGCAAACTCATCAGTCGTATGATTGCTGTTCATCGGTGTAACTTATACCTATCATGGTACAACTATGTATCACATTTCTTGCAACGTCATACTAGGCCAGTGAGGAAACGTATGCCCAACTCTTTAAGCTTCTACTGTTTCAGTAATTATACAGAATCGTATAATGTTCTTACTCTCTGAAACATAAATCCATTCGAAATAAATGTGTGTGTCTGTGTGAGTGTCATTAATTTTCAAACTCAAACATATCGAATTTAATTGCAATTGCCAATGCAACTTATCTGCCCAATGACCAAAGAGAAGTGTGTTTTTCTGTTGTCTTGCTCTCGAAAACTGGAGCATCTTGTCCATGTCGAAGAAAGACTAACATAGCAGAGACCTCAAATAACACAATTTGTTATTTCTTCATTTTGATTTTGTTTTCATAAAATACAAAGGATATCTTGTTAGTGGGCAGCCCTTCTGGTGTTACCAGTTAACTGGCAGGTCGGATAGTCAATGGCGATGATGTTGATGCTATAGTCCATGATAATGGACTCAATATTTTTCTGTTCTTGTTTGTGTTTACTGAGAACTTCTGTTTTTGAATTTCCTAGGCCATGAGAGAGGGGACGCACCGCCGCTGGAAGTGGTAAATGAAAACATTTTGACCCAGAAACTAAGGATGAAAACATAGAATATTATATGAAATATGGTACATTGTTGTTTTTATTGCTGTTGTTGTTGTTTTCGGCATTACTGGTAGAAGGAAGGCGAATATGTGAACATACGTGTATTGATTTTTAAAAGTAAAAGTACACGAATTATATAAAGCCCCAAGACTTGGAATTGAAATAGATAATAACTTTCATGAATTGAATTGCCTATGACAAAAACTTGGTATTTTCAAGTTCTGTAAATACATATCAAGGCTTTCATGCCTTCAATGGTTGGTAGTATAGTTCGGTAGAAAAGTATGACAAAAAAGTATCGATGCAGGTCCATATCTTCGTATATAATGGTACCTCCCAATATTCGGTATTTTTATTATAATTTTAGAGACATTTTTTACCGGAATGGTTTCAAAGTTTTTATTTAAAGTTCAATGGTTACTACGGCCTATGACAAAAAATCCCGCATGCAGGTTCTCGTATAGCCCCCATATAACCAAAAATTATAATCATCCGATTTGTAATAAGTAGTGAATCACCCCAAACCAAGTGTGATACTGATACCAAAACTCCCAACACACCAACACTGCACTCCACGAAGAAGTTTTCATCCGAGGAGAGAAGCTAACTGGTAGATCAATTTTATTCTAAAAACTTCTCTCTACCGTATATCGATTACAATTCATTTACCCGTGAAATAACAAAAACAAGAATGCCATGGTCCTACCATCTAACACGCCAACCTTCATTCTATTTATAGAACACGATTTGCACTCAGCAAAAGGACTTTCACCGGCGCAAAAACAAATACCGAATCGAGCTTGCAACCATGTTGCAAAAGCCAAACCAAAGTCAAATTGCAACAAATATTCTCATCATTATAGACATAATGTAGAAGTAAGCCAAAAAGAAATTTAAGCCCAATGGCAACACGACCCTCTAAGTGACGTTAAAAAACCCAGGCACCACAAAAAGGCTCCTTCGCCAATACCAACCAACACCAGCAACAATTCCAAAGTGTGAAAGTGGAATAAAGTTTTTGTTTTTCGTTTTGCTCTCGTTTTTTTTTTTTTGTGTTGTTCTTGTTGTAGGCTTTCCAAAACATTTACTAAGAAGGAAATCGATTTTAGGGCTCTGCCATAAAAAATATAAAATGGAAAATAACCAAAAATTCACTCCCAGCACAGCGTCGATGTTGATGATGGTTGTGTTATTGTTGGTGTTGTTGGAAGACGAGAACGAAGCAGAGAGGCAACAATAAGCCAAAAACTTAATTGAGCAAAAATAAGCATCGCAAAATGTTACAGAGGAAAACAAAAGTGAAAACTACTAATTTGACATTGAAAGGATTTGAAGTGTGTTTTTTGCTCTTTTTATTGCTCAGCCTGTTTTTTTTTTGTGGCAACGGATTAATTGCAATGAATGGAGGGCAGCATTTATGTCAGCCTAGAATTGAATGTTGACTGCTGCTGTTATTAATTCTAAACGCTCTTTCTTCTGTAGCGTCCAAATGACTTAATCTCTTCCGATGACACAGTGCCGTACAAAAGTGTGGCGCACGCATCAAAGGACATTGCCGGTGGATAATCACAATTTTCTCTCAACTCATTATCTATTCTTATGTGATTGCAAATCGCTCCGACAACAATTGCAAGGAGGTGGCATGGACAGCGATAATCCCCTTGTAGCTGCCGATATCAAACATATTTCCACCGAATAGAGTTAGGGATTAGTGTAACGCAAAGATTGTGATGCGCCATGAATGTGTTTTGTAGTGTTAAATACACAGTATTCAATTTGGCAATCGAGACTCTTGTTGGAAGGATTTTTGTTTTTAGTATATTCTGTAGGGGTAATATTAGGAGAACTGGTGGGTATTTCTATTCATCTATCTCAACAGGCGTGGCTAAATTTATATGTCGTTGAAACTTTGCATGGACCTTATTCCTAAGATGATTGATATTAAAAATGGTATAGTTCCTAATATTCGTCTAACAAAAAACCCGGATTTTTCATGTTTAAGTATTTGTAAAATCGTGAATTATTTTTAAGAAATAATAATTTAAGTCTGGCTGAATAGGGCGCATAGCCCCCATACAACCTGCAAAGGTTTCAGAAGCACTTTTGGAGATATAAATCCTTTTGTCACAAATTTTTAAATGAAAGTCCATTCATTTAGGTATTTCACTGAAGTTTGGTTGCTCTGAATGTCTTCCAACTTAAGTGACAACAAATATCAAATTCTTTAATAAAATGCTCAATTTAGGTGGAGGTGTTGGAACGCCAGATCCTAATACTTGTCACGATTTTCAACTAAAATGGATTTTAGCCATTAGACCATTTAGAATTGAAGTTACATTTACCATTTATTACTAATCAGTTATTATTTCCTACACTCTGTTATTCACAACTGAATACAAAAAATAAAACAAAACAATACCACGACCCTCCGAATTTCTATAAGATTAATAGCCAGTAAGCTCGTCAATGTTATATGAAAATATTAGGAAAAGCCTCATTTCCATCCACCATGGAAAAGAGGGTATATTAATTTTTTTATTCCGTTTGTAACATCCCTAAATATTTGTCGTAGACCCCATAAAGAATATACAGGGTGAGACGAAAAAACTGCAACCAACTTCGGACTGCTGTCATTTCAAAGCCACTCGTCCGACAGCTGTTAAAATTATTCCAGTGACATCTCATTATATTGTTTACAAGCATACAAAACCATTTTGGTGACAATTTTCCAGCAAAAAAGTTATTCAATCTCTCTAGCCCACTTCCATTCTAAATTACATTTTAATTTAGGAAGATCCATATACACTTTCCTATGTGGGAAACCCATATTTCGAGGTGTTTCCTAATTTTTGGCCCAATCAAACATATAATACACCCAACATATAGTGTTGTTGGGTATAAACATTTTTTTTCCTGAATTTCACTTTCACTTCACATTTAATTATAAAAATAAGATTTGATTATATTTTACAACGAAGGCGAAACAAAACATATTTAAGCTAGATATTTTACTTACATAACTCAAACGTGCTGGATACAATTGTTATATGCCTGTAAAAATAGAAAATAAATAGCATTAGATGAGAATATAGTATTGTTAGAATGCTAAAGTTATCAATATCTCAATCTTGAAAACGAAACTCTGTGATGAAAATTCAGATGTTTTATTACTTACGTTTTATTACTTACGTTAAATAATAACAATACTTTCTAATGGAATTATATAATGTTAAAAAAAATCAAAGTAATAAACAAGTAAAAAGCATCTAAGTTCTAAGACGAGGACCTGCACACGCAATTTTGTTGTCATAGACTGTAATACCCATTTGGACTTTCGAATACGAAATTTAAAACAATTCCGTTGAATATTGTCAATAATATTATCAAAGTACCGAAAACAGTGATGTACGGTTGTGGCAAGATATCGTGATTACAACAGACAGACGGAAGGACATAGCTAAATCGACTTACAATTTTACGCTGATCAAGAATATATATACTTTTTTGGGTCTGACATAAGTATTTCGAGGAGTTACAAACGGAATGACAAATTTAGGGTATGCAAATAACACTTTAAAAAGATAACAAGACAAAACGGCAAATGTATAGCGTGCCCTGACTTTTACAACATGAATTACACTAAACAAGACAGCCTTCTACCGCAATTGCAAATATTAAACTAAAAATTTGGATTAAAACTTAAAAATAACTAGAACAGGGCGGTTCGTTAATGAATTTATTTTTTGTGAAATATCACGTGGAATTCCGCTGTAAAACTTGATAAAAGCCGTAAAAAGAATAGGAAATTAAATATCAATTTCAGAAGTTAGTAAAAAATATGCCTATATTCAATAGTTTCCAAGTAAATCATGAAAAAGAGAAAATATCACAGTGAGCAAAATAAAATCAAAGTGGGTCACATTATTCAAATAATACTTGGTGGTTCGTTTAAATCTATTACCTACTCTCAAATAGCGACAGCAATAAGGATTATTTCATTATTTTAAGATTTTCCAATTATCTGTAAAATAGATGTGCAAAATTTTAAATAGAATTGTTATAACTTAAACAGTTGCTTTCTGAAGCCACAAATAAATATTTTGACTTATTGTTTTGAACTGTTTGTATTATATTGAGCGGCAATGCCATTAATCTTGGGCCGACATTATCATGGTGGTGCGAGTTATTTTTATGACATAAAGTGTTAAGGTCGCATATAATTGTTTGCCATGTGTATATACATACATACTTTCATGAGTATGTATGCATGCCTACGTAAGGCACCGAGAACATGCAAACTACCATATTATCATACCTAATATAAAATATCCTTCTTCAGGACATCAACACTCTCTCCGTTATAATTTGTATTTACATTGCAGTCTAAGTAAATGTGCTCCGCTACAACAAAAACAAAAACACACACTCACACCGCCGCATAGATATTAAACACGACAGCAACGTGGATAACATGTGTTGGCTGTTCATTGTCAGTCACGTCATATTTAACATTTAAATTAATTATTTGACTTGTATCAACTTCACTACATATATAATTACTCGAAAACAATTTCAATTTAATGGCTCTTTTTTTTACCCCGCCACGGTGGAGACCCTGATTCATCGTCCTTCCTGGCGTTTTGCTATTTTTTTTTGCTTTAATTCTATGAAAATATCTCGCCGACATGCATCTATAGACGTCAGTTGGTCGGATGAAGCAGGTTGAATAATTTCAATTATTTGACATTGACAGTTGCAAAAGGGAAAATGTGTGAAAATAGAATTTTTTGGTGATAATAAAGACAGCAAGTAACTTAATAAGAAGTATAGAGAAAGTTTGATATTTTTGCTAAAATAAAGCTATACGGTTTACATTTCAGCAACAAATTTATTTATTTTTTTTTTTTTTTTTGATTATAGCATTATAATGAAGATATAGAATAGAAATTTAACATATCTACTAATAAAGAGATATATCAAAAAAAAAAAAAAAAAAAAAAATAATAATAATAATATAATAATAAATTAATATCAGAAAGTCAAACAAATAAAAAGGCAGCTGCCGGGCCAAACTTTGAATACCCTTCACCATTTGGAAAAAATTGAAAATTTTCAAAAAAAAAAGCTTTGAAAAATACTGCTTGAATGTAGTTAGTTAACGTCCTATACGAAGACGTATACCTGTATGAAAAATTTTCTGTCATAGTACCCAGTAGGAACTTCGAATACTATATTTGAAACAATTCCGCTGAAAAGTTTTAAACAAATCATCAAAATACACTTATATAGGGACTATACCAAAACATATTTTTTCGGCCACTGCGACGCGGGTTTTGATCAAGTCGCTTATTTACTTTTCGAACCATTTCTGCTGATGTTGCTGTTTTCTTTCGTCCACTTCCTTGACGCCGGGCTACACATTTAAATGCTGAAGTGCTCTAACGATAGCCACTTGTGGTTTTCCAATCAAATATAAAGAAATCGCACTACCACGCTTGAATGCCATCACGAATAACTTTTTTCTGAAAAATTCTCACCAGAATGCTTTTGGTGAGCACTGGAATAATTTTAACAGCTGTCGAACGAGTGGCTTAAAAATAACAGCAGTCTGAAATTGGTTGCGGTTTTTCATCTCACCTTGTATTGACAGTCCTATGCAAGGATGTCTCTTACATCATGGGAACACATGCTGCAAATATACAGCAACTCCGGATTGATTTTGTGACTAAAACTTCCAGGAATCTACCGGAACATTTATATTGGGGTTATACCAAAACCTGCATCTATTTAGCCTATTTCCAATGCAGAAAGTCCTGCAAACCAATCATACATCTGAGTAAAAGTTTATCATCCTACTTCATTTCGTTATGAAGCTGGAGTGATGTATGTATGTACTTTTTTCCTATGAAATACCCATGTTAAAATAATCTCATTATTTGGCAAATATATTGTTTCTGGGATGTTACCCTACGCCAGTCTTCATATTTTGCAGAAGTTTCCGTAGAATTTTGTGCGAAGTAAATCAAACCACGTATGCACGTTTTAGAACGTGATTTATGGCTTTGTTGCGCTTTAAAAAAGTGACTCTTTGGGTAGTCCATAGAATAGATAATAGTAATGAAGAAATTAATGTTTAGAAATTTATAAGATTTAGAAATTTAATTGACCATTCCAACATAAAAACATTTTACTGACCATAATGGTTAAACTCTATTTATCTTTCCGAAGATACAAGTGCAGATTTTTTTTAATACTCATGATGCAATATTTCGAGGTCATATTTTGTGAAAAAACACGACTCATTTTAAATTCCGTTTGGAAATACAAATGCACACATGCACATGCCAAGCAAAATAAATCCTTCGATTATTTCCATTCTTTTCTGTTGTTTTTTTGTGTTTTTTTTTTTCATTCAGAACTAAAGTGCCTTTTTCTGTACTTTTGAAATCTGTGTTTTACCTTTGATTTTAAGCATTAAATCTCTTCATATACAATACAGCGGCATCAACGAAAAATCCATTTAAAATATCTACTATATTAGCAGTTGTGCGAAGAGATGTAGCAGTTTTTGGATTGAGATGTGGAAAATTCTTTGTAACTGGTGCTTCTAAACGTAAATCAAATGGCATTCCATATCATTTAACGTTTGATATAGAGCGTTTTTTAATAAATATGTTCTTTACAGAGTTTTCATCATGCTATGGTCGCATAAGAACATATGTCATATTCATTTATCAAACTTTCGTCTTAAGGCTATGATTTCTTAATTTTTTCCACCATCATTATTAATGAACAAATAAATGAACTTTAACATAGTAATGACCAAAAGAAAACTTGTTCCATTTAAACTATAATAAAAAAATAATTGAAAATACGTTTTTTAAGTATATTTAAAGAAAGTAAGTATGATAGATGGATATGAGGTTGGAAAAATGATGCACAGCCCTGATAGACATATATGACGACTCGATAATGAGATTGAGAGCATATTAAGAATACCATTCCTTGAAATAATCAGTTTAGGCCCATCCAAATCCGACTTTTCTGATTTAGCTGTCTTCAGAAGGAGTCGAAATACCGACATTTTTCGTATATATTTTCATACCCTACAACACTGTGTATTGGGGATATTATAAGTTTGATTGTGCCAAAAAGTTTGTAACACCTCGATGATGTAAATATTTTTATAATTATTATTAACATAGAACCAAGTTTGGTATCATTGCACAGTAGAAAATTATATTGTGTATCCAATTCTTTTGGGCCAAAAATTTTGTAAAACCTCGAAATATTGGTCCCCGACATAGGAAATTATGTATGGACCTTGCTATCTCACCGAGCTGTGTCGATCTAGCTGTGTATGTCCGTCTGTCCATGTTGGAATCACGCTACAGGTTGAAATGTGGCCCGATGTCAAATCTGACCGTTACATTGATGCTCTGGATATGAGAATATACAGCAAAATATATACAATCTCATATAGCAGTGATGGGGATGTTAGTTAAACATCTTATTTTGACAATTCTCACAAATTCGGAATAACCTTTTGCAAAAAATCATAAATCTAAGAAAATCGCATGAAAATATGCAGGGTATTATGTCTTTGTGCATTTGTTTGTAACAGGCAAAAGGAAAAGAAATAGACCCATAGTTCCTTTTGATGATCTGCATAGAATCACATTCTGAGTCGATTTATGCATGTCCGTCCGTTCGTCTGTCCGTCCGTCCATGTATTTTTGTCAACAAAGTACAGTTCGCATTTATTGCCCTATCCAGATGAAATTTTGCAAATATCATTTGTTTGGCCCAAGGACGAATCCTATTGAAATTGGAGATAATCGGTCAAAATTAAGATATAGCTCCCATATATATCTTCGTCCAATTTGCCTTTTATTGTGCACCAAACGTATAATATCAGCCCGAATAGTATGGAATTTTGCCCATACAGCCAAATTAGGCCTGAAAATAAGTATGCCAAATTTGATCGAAATCGTTTCAGATATAGCTATAGCTCTTATATATATTGTTCATCCGATTTATTATTTTTGTCC